AGTTTTCTAATTGTTTTTTTTTTAAATCAAAGGTTAATTCAGTCAGGATCTGATATTTATAACAGTTAAATAATGGCACAGTCACCTTTAACAGAACTGTACTGTATTTAAGCAAATTATTTATACAGAAGAAACATTTCCTACTTGAACCAGATAGGAGTCCTCCAAATGTGATTGGTACTGTTTAACTGATGTGTGTCTGTCTGTCTGTCTGTTTGTATACGTCAAGCTACCTCTCTTATTAAGCAGGGGCAAGATGAAAAAAACTTTCTAAATTAAATATTTTTCATGTGACACAGATTGACCTAGCATTTCAATATTGTCACCTACTGAAAGCCATAACCACCAAGATCAGTGGCTCTCAGACGTCCCCCTTACCACAAACTCATGGACCGTGTAAAAACAGGGTGCATGGAGGTTCTTGACAGACCATAAGAGTAGTCTTTGTTTTCCAACTGTGATGGATGCGCCTGTTTTTCTGAGCGAAGTTCTGTAGTCTCAGGTGTCATGTTTGTCAGCTGTAACCTCAGGTCAAAAGCCTTAATCTCAGTTGCCACAAAGAATAAATCAATTGCAGAGCCAAATAGATACTCTAAACTGTTTGACAACCTGAATGGAGTTTGTGGAGCACCAGATGAGAAACTATGATCTCGGCTACCTGCAGACCTAGCCTAATTCCAAAGGCCTTCTGCAAGAGAACCAGGTTAGACTCCTGGTAACAGCGATCTACTTCTCCGGCAGCCAGCTGAGCGGGGAGAAAGGAAGGGTGGAAGAAAAGAAGTGGTTCTTCTCCCCTGCTGGCCTCAGCCCTGGCCACAGCTGCCCTGCTTCCCTGAACAATTACCTGTAAGAGAATGCAGCCCTCAATAGCAAATGTTCCCCATCTTTCCCTTAGGGATAGGGATCATGTAGTCCAGAAACATTTGCAGGGCCACAGCTCTCATGATCCACGGTCATTCACTATGCTGGCTGGGGCTGATGAGAATTGTAGCTCATCAACATCTGTAGCAGAGTTTTCAGGAGCTGCTGCCTCCGCCATCGCAATCTCTGTGCATGGTGTTGACTCAAATCTAGAGTCACAGGCACATAGCTCTAATGTTGCGGGAGAAGCACAGACACAGCTCCCTTCAGCAGGTCCTCTCCTGGTTTTATCAATTCTCCCCCTGCCCAGGCCAAGCCATTTTTGTCTGTGCTATGCAGCAGGGATGGGAACAGGAACAAACAAAGGGTCGTGAAAAGGAGGAGTGGAAGGATCTTTGCTGCCACCACCTTATCCTTTGCTCCTGGGCTGCTGCTACATATAGAAAAAGACGCAGGGGGGGCAGTAAGATGCTCCCCCAAGCATCAGCCGCAAGATTGGTCTAGATCAGAAAGTGGAACCTTGTGGCCCTCCAGATGATTAAAAGCTGCAACTCAGATTTACACAATAGTTAATCATCCATTTAAACCATGATGGGAGAATAGTAACACATGAAAGATGGCCTGGGAAATGCTGAGATAGCAAGCATTCATGTTCATCCCATCGCTAGCGCTTCAGTTTACTTTATTCTTGGTTCGTTATACGCCATGTAATTTTCAGTATTCATTCAGACAACGTTGAAGTAGTTCCTCCGCCTGCCTTAACAAGTCAATCTTTTCTGTCCTATGCTTATGAGATCAAAAAACAAAGGATTAGAGAGGAGGTCCAATCCTAGCTTCCACTTTTAACAGGCATGGGAAGGGGAGGGGCTTACCACACCTTTTGATCACAATTGCCAGGGAAAGTCCAGGTGTTTATTTTCCAACACAAGGCCAAAAAGGTATGTTCATTTCCTTGCTGGCACTGATATACAAACATCATCAAATGAATTATTCTTCCACTTCCTGGATTTTGCAAGAATACATTGGCAAAAGCTGGGAAAGTGGTGGTGGGACCCATTACAAGGCTGGCATTCTGGGACATGATGGTGTGCGAGTGTAAAACCTGGTCAGAATACAGAAGTTGTGTTTATCCCTGCATTAGAAGACAGCAGACTCCTCACCCCCCCCAATCCCCCTAGAGAGCATCTGTCCCCTGTAATCATGAAAAATGGTTCCAGGGCCTTATAAACCAAGGATAACCAATTTATGTAATCTAAGGGGCAACATTATTTTCCACAAGATGGAATTAAAATTTGTTATGAGTCCAGGCTGTCTCGTGGATAAAGTCTTCAAGTAACTAGGTCATTACCTACAAGACCCAAAAAGACTGAGAATGGAAGGTTTTGCTAAATACCAATAGGATCAAGATGAAAACATGTGGTGTGTGTGTTGCTTAAAAAAAAAAAACAGGCAACCTACCTGTGTCTTCATTAAGTTTCAGAAGCCTCCTTTGCCCAGTCTGTGCTTACAAATAAGTTTGAAGTCCATTCATTTGCAAAGCCACCTTACCTCCTTCCAGTGCTCCAGCTGAACTGATTGATATTCAGAGTTACCTTCAAAAGCAAGCTAAGCAACACCAAAATCTACCCAGTAGGCAATGATTGCTATCTCCTTTTAAGCACCGAGAGACCCCAGGAGAGAGACTGAGAAAGGGTGGCAATCCCAAATGGAAAACAGAAGCTTCCATAGCTGTGTTGACAGGCAGGAATTCAGCATGTTTCGCATTCCCCATCCTTGGCAAAACCTATTTAATGCCTGGTTATCACACAGCTGCTGAAGGCATGGAAGCTCTCATGAAAAGAAGGTGGCACCCCCAGTTATAGCCAGAATACAACCAAGGCATGCAGCATCAATGAAAACAAGAGTCTGAATCAATGGGCAGGAAGACTTGACTGCGCACAAGCCAGCACTTGCTGTTTTGTGGAGCTGGCAATCACATTCCTTTGGCTCTGGCCCTCCCACAGAGTTGCAGCAAAGTTAACGATTATACACTGCTGGTTAAGTTTAGAGCAATTAGGGTGATCTTACATGCTGGCTACAGACAATATCTCCCTTTTTATGAGGGGTCTGCATTCCTGCCTTTGCTCCGACTTGTCCCTTGCACATTCCAGAGACACAAACTTGTATTCTTGTTGTCAAGCTGGCTACCGCAAACGCTTAAGGAAAAGGCTTGACTAAATTAGTACAGTGACCTTTATCTATAAACTGAACGCATGATTATCGGCTGGGGTTGATTCATAATTTACGCACCTGCTTGCTACACACACACTGGGGTTTGCAAGGCTGAACACCAGAAGGGGTGATGGGGAGACATCCATTTCCATACACACAATTAGGCAAGTGGTTGGGAGTCCCAGCCTATTGGCACACAATCATGTCCTGTTCCCCCAACCGATGGGAGATCCACACTGCTGCTTCACCATAGGAAATACCAGCAGATACATATGGTTGAAATGTAATAGGTGAGTGGACATGTTAGCTTGAAAATTAATGCCCCTGGAGGTAAGGCACTTTTTTTTTTAACAAGAGTGAAAGACAATTTTTTTGCAGCCAATACGAAAGACAACAAGAGTGCATTTTCCAATCTAGAAAACAGGCCACTATGCCACACATAATAGTTTACAGGAAGATTAAGTAAGTAGGTAAAAGTGTGTGTGTGGGGGGGGGAATATTGCATTAATTGAGCCCTCAAAGACCCATGGCCAAACTGGTGTGGTAAGAATGTGGGCTGAAAATAAGCTGGGTTGAGTTGCATTCCTAGCAAAGCAGTTAGGGGGTAGCTTTGCTATGAGGCGACCTTGCCACTCAATCCATATTTCTTATGACCTCACCTGCCAGACTTGCTATCATGTGCAGAACATGTGAACTTCTGTGTCTTCCTCCTAGTGTCCCCCTCACTCACCTCAATGTGCCAGAATGTCACATCAAGCTTATTAAAGAAACCCACATCCTATCACACCTAAGATGAAGTAGACTGTGGTCTACAGGTGCCTAAAACTAGTTAGCCACAAGCTGTTTTTAGTGCTGAGAATAAAGAGATTCAGAATGAAATGACTCTCATACAGGAACAAGAACAGGATCCATAACTGTGTCCCATTATGTGCATGGCAGCTCTGGCTTGATTCTGGGAACATGAACAGGATTCATATTATGTATTTATTTATACCTCACTCCCCCCACCCCCCAAATGGGACTCAGGGCAGCTTATAGATAAAAACAAGAATTGCTAAAAATGGGGGGGGGGCTATTAAAAAACAATTAAACATTAATAGAATTAAAACTCGATAGATATAATTGGTTTTAAACATACAAATAATCACAACAAAAAAACCACAACACCAGCCCTTTCATTAAAAGCAGTCAATTCCGCAAAAACTTGTTGGAACAAGGTCTTCCATTTGCTAGCGGAGACCACTAAGAGGGAGCCAGTCTACCTTCTCCAGAGTCTGGGAGCAGCCACCCAGATTACATGGGTGAATGCCTCTTTCTACTCACTTAGGAAATTACCCTACTTATTACAAAATTCACAGCAAATAGAACTACTCGTCCTCAAGATCTCTCAGAGCAGGAATACTCACCAAAATGTCAAGTTTCAGCTACTATTAAGTTAAGTACACTTGGGGTCAAGTGTGTACATTCTATTTCACAGGAATCTTCTTCCTCCTCATGCTCTTGCAAAACACCTACTCTAACTTGGGCAAGTTGCTCTCAGCCTTGAGCGCATGTTGATGATGAACAGCTTTTCTATGCAGTAAATCAAAGGGATATTTTGTGATTTTTCTGAGCAGCTGCAAAACAACAAAAGAAACAGATCTCACATTTCTCCGCTTGCCGTACACTCTGCTGTGCTGGAACCAGCCAAGAAGGCAGAAGAACATCAGCAACATTCTCAAAACAAGTCAGTAAACTGAGCAGTGACAGAGTTTGGGAGATGGGCTGTTAGAAGCAAATGGAGCACCATCTCCCTTTGGTGCACAGAACTAGCCACCGGAAGTACCACCTTGGTACCACCAATAACTGAGTCTCTGCCAGATTGCAGTCTTTGCATAGTGAACTTTCAAGTAGCCAACAACCTACCAAAGAAATACACAAAAACCAACTGTTTTAAAAATACTTTTTATTTTTTAGAAAATACAGCATTCAGTACAGTGTGCCCTGCCTCCCCCATAATCTACAAATCCACATCATCACCCAGTCCAATCAGGAATGTGCATTTCCTAAGTTTCGCCAAACCTCTGGTGCTCATGTTAAGATTCTGCGTGCTGTTAGTGTGAATAAGGTAGTGGTAGTTTCTGGCCTGCTCGTCACTGTGGCAAGTTACAGTCAAGTGATGGCTGCGATCACTTTTACCACGCTGCCCATTGGCCCTGCCTTTCAGCCACTACAGCTAAGCACCTGCTAGAGCAGAGTGTGCACTAAACCTATCGCAGCCTCCACTGAGCATGTGCAGGAATACTCTACTGTTCTTCAGTAGTAGCATAGTCTCAACGCTCTATGGGCTCCTGCCACTTCGGGGCCCTTCAAAACATTGCCCCTGGGCTTCCATATAGTGCCAAAGTGATTCAAGTCAAAACAAGTTCCAAATGAAAGTACAGCAACTACCTTGGCCACCATAATGATGCAATATCCCACTAAAATAAACTGAAACATTTTAAAAGGGAAGAAACCATATCTTCTGTTTTTCTGACGTGACTCCTAGGTGGCAAAATTACAGCGTTATCTTGACTCATTGATTCTAATCCAGTCTAATAAATTTGGAGAATGTTTTAGGGGTGGGAAATGATTTCCACAAGCAGAGATACCTGAGAATACCCACGGGAGGAAGGATCTCCCATGCTCTGAGTAACATTCCTCTCCAGCTTAGAAGCGTTCCAGTGCTGGGGTGTTTCCTCCAAAACAGGTAAGGGGGGGGGAGAGTTTTTTTTATTGTGCAGATTGGATGGATACTTGTGAAGGATGGGGTGCGGGAAGGCTGGATATTTATGGGATTGTCACATAATTGTGATCTTCATCCAGCATGGCTGATTTTGAAAGTCTTCTCATCACCTTGGAAACAAGGGTTACCCCTCCCTAAAAGAGACAAGCTCCAGATATTTAGATCGCATAGTGGAGTAACCACAGGGACCAGTCATGTTCATGGGTCAGTGGGTAGGCGGTGGGAGACACAACAATTCTGTAACTAGTCTCTCTGAAATCCTGAGATTTGGCCTTTAGTGTTAGTGGAGAGGAGAAAATGAGACAAGAAAGGGAGTACTGAGATGTAGGCTACCAATTCTCTCTTTTTCCTTCATGGAAGTTCTGATAGGTCCTTAAATTATAACTGATCATGCACTTGAGACTGCTGATTGGACCATCACCATTGCATGGTAATGTTCTGTATTAATACAGCAAAAGAATAGATTCAGACCAATCTAATGGAGTCCAAGTATCACACAAGGCCAAGCTAGGTCTTGGTTGCTTTAGCCACCAAATTCCTTTGGGACACGGGGCTAATCCATTAAACAGAACATGGCAGAGAACATGTCAACAGTGACCTTGCTAGGCAAACTTAAAATGGAATGAAATCCTTTGGCAGTGGTGGGGATCCCAAAGAAATGTATCCTCTGTGACATGCTGGCTACCATCTTCCAGCTACAGAATGGAAAATACATCTGAGTCAGCAAATGCTCACATCTGGGTGTCCCTTTGCTTGGGGCCTTGGGTAGATGCTCTTAAAAATGTTTGACTTCTTGCACATTCCTGAGGGAATGGGATGACAGAGGCACCAGTATGCATTATCTCAAGACAAGAAAGCTTTTCGCTGATTCACTATGTCTCACAGTGGCAGTAAAAATGCCCACAGAGGGTGGCAACATCCAGAAGCACATGAATGAAAGCACAGGTGGGCTAGATAACCCCACACGTGCATAGCACACTCCACCTAGAATGCAGACTTGCCCCACAGGATTGTTACTGGGAGGTGGGGGGTCAGGGATAAGCCAAATAATGGTGGTCGGGGAGGTGGGGGGGGGAGCCTAGAGCAGGGACAGCCAGTGTGGTGTCCTTCAAATGTTGTTTGAATGCAACTCCCATCATGCTAGCAGGGGCTGATGAGAACTGGAGTTTGACATGTGGAGTGCACCAGCTTGGCAACTCCTGGCCTAGAGTTGTCAACAGTTACGGTGCTCTAGGAACAAGAATTGGGGGTGGAGGAGTGATACAATCTACTACTGCCAGTCCCTGAATGTAGCTTGACAGTTTGGGTTTTGGTCACAGAAAATATAGGCAAAAGAGAGGGGAAACCCCCAGTAGAGGATTTCAATATCCCTATTTGAATCTGGATCCTGTTGGCTGAACATGACATGCTGAGCTAGGCCAAACTTTGAACCTAATCAATGTCTTCTGAGCGTTACAAACTGGAAGCAAGGCCTGCTGTCCAATGTGGAGGAAATTCTTAAAAGTTAGAAGAGACTGTCCTTCCAAATCCTGCCAGCACACCTCTCAGGAAAATAAAAAGATTATGGGAGAGTTAAAATCTAGGTTTCTCCTCTGAAATTATGGCATGAGCTGTTCTGTATTTTTTAAATCATTTTTTAAAAAGCCAGATACTTGAAAGTGCCCTAGGGCAGTGTGCTTTGAACTTGGAGAAACCTGCCCTTCCTTTCTTGACTCGCAGGCCCAAGTCCCAGCTGTTTCCACCATGGGAATGAGCGAGCTAGAGAAAACCCAGGCTCTTTCCTTCACAACTGTTGCAGCATTCTTTGCTGCTTAACTTATCTGCCTCTTCTGTAGACTTCAAAAGAATACACTGACTTCATAAAAGGGGGGTGGAGGGAGGGGCAGGGAAGAAATCACGATTCAAAGCCATCAAGCTAACACCACACAATTGGCTATGTAAGAAAAGAAAAGAAAGAAAAAAGGCTTAGCATTTGTGTGGAGGTTGTTTTTTTTTATGAGATACAAAACAGACTACTAAGAAGCTCCCCAGGGGTCAGAAGGAGAAGTTTAATCATGCACGTTAAATTCAGTGACCCCCATGGAATGAACACATCGTCATCTACTACAATGGTTGTCAGAAGTCCCCAATCTGGGTCACATTGCTGGCTTGAGCTGAGTCAGGGCCTACCTCTACTCTTGCATTCAGAGTGGATCGAGAAGACTTCTTCCACCACCAACACCCCTGGCAATGCAACTGCCCTTCCATCATGAGCTGCTCCAGCCCCCCTGCACATGGGTAACACCGTCACACCAGCGGCTGCCCCTTCCTTCCACCTGGTTTACATGGATCTGCAGCAACCACTCTGGGACACAGAACATTCCTGCCACAGTGAACAACATCTGTCATGGGGAAAGTGCATCCCATGAAGAAGACAACCCGTTCAGGATCCTGTGGAAGTGCCAATATTCCCTTAGCTTGGCAAAGCTTTACTGTATAGCTAAGGATCAGCCTGGTTTTGCATCGTAACCTACAGGTGCCAGTGCAGGTGTCACGATTGAGGAAGGAGGAGGAGGACGACACCTGAGCAAATACATCACTGGGCCGAGGAGCCCAAAGGCTTCACAGCCAACAGCCAGCTGAATGCAATATTTGGAACCATCTAGCTTGAGAAAAGGCAGTTCCTGTAAGTCAGAGCAACAGCTAGGTAAGTTGACATGGCCATTTGGCTGGGAGCCAACTGCAAGGTGAGGTGCTGGTGTGGCAACGTGTGGTAAAGCATACCAGAGCTATACATGGAGGTGACACGAAAAGAAGAAGAAGTGGCAACCTTAAATTAAGAATGTCAAGGAGCCAACCAAGAGGAACTGGGCAGGGATTGCACTTCCTGATTTCTAATTGCTCTCATCTTCTCATGTGGCTGCAACAGCGTGAGGCAATGAGCCATCCAAGTGAGGCAGAGGAGGTTGGGGGAGAAACAGCTTTACAAAACTCATAAAAGTGGACAGTGAAACCCAGGACCTGTATGTGGATTTGTGGCGCCACAAACAAGGCTACCTGGTAAGGCCTGGAACTGGACGCCAAGCCTCTTCACTGGTGAAATGAGAGCGGCTATCAGGAACTATCAGCCTCTCCTTCAGCTGCCTGGAGATGAACAGCTTTTCTTCATCCAAAAAACACACCTGTGTCGTTTGAGAAAAATCCCACTAACCTCTAGCACCTCCCCCACCAACTCCAAGGTTTTAAACAAAAAAGGGGGAGGGGAGATCCTGCTGCAGTGCTAATCCCTGGAACACACTCCTTAACCCTCAAATAGTGAGTACTGAGTCAACTCCTAGGCAAACTTGCCATCTTGGTAAAGCATGACATTAATGGTATGGGAATTTCCAAAGACTATTGATGCACTGTTTTGTAACAGTGAGAGAAAAGGCATTTGGAGGGTGTTTTTATGGGGGTGTGGGTGGGTAGAGTTCTGCTCTTTGCGTGTGAATACCCCACCCCAGATAAGTGGTGAAGAAAATCCTTTGAGTGGTGCCGTTTCCAAGTAAACCAGGTCACAATATGAAGCAGTAAACAGGAGCATCGGTTTTAAGAGTCATTTCAATCTAGAACAGTTATGGTTTTTCCCCCTCCCAGGATTTACACAACGACAGAGCAAAAAGGAAGAGAAATGGCTTGGAGGTTCTCTCTCTTCCTCCCTGCCCCCAGATTCCTACCCTCCCTCCCCCTAACGAAACCGGGTGGAGACGACTTTGAAAGAAGAGATGGAGGAAACAGCTCTGGAATTTGGTGGACAGGCTCAGATGCAGAGAGGTGGATTTGGTTGGAGCTGCGATTCCGGAGGCTGGTAGGCACCCGCAGCCCCTTTCCTGACCCGTCCTCCTGTCCACGAGGCTTTAACTGTCTTCACCATTCTCGCCTGGTCCTTTGATAAGTCGCTTCTGTCCCCTCTTTCCCACAGGCCCCTTGGGTTTGGCAAAGGCCTGCTTGAAGGCATGCTGCTTGGGGTGGACCTCATCATACAGGAACTCTGCTGTCAGCTCAGCTCCATCATCAATTTCAATCTGGCAAAGAGGAAAGAGGAGATGCAGTCCTCTGCCTTGGCCTCTGAAAACACCTACATCTCAGATGAGACAAGGACTGTCTTCCTCGTAATGCCACTCTCTTACCTCCCTCGTCCACCTCTTTTCCCAAAATCGTTTCTACCATCCAGCAGCAACTCTAAAATGTTGCTTCCAACCAGATCTACTTTTCGTCTCCAGAATCTGAGTATCACAGCTCCTCATCATTTCGTAGGTCAGCCATGCAATTTTGAAATTTCTCTTGGCCAAGAGTTCCTTCATCCTCCCCCCCCTACTGTGAGAACTATCCAGTTATTCCTATTCTCTGCTTCCTTTTCCTTAAGCAGTTACTCATCTAAGAGAGGACCTGTCCTCTCATCCCATGACTGCAAAGAACTCTTCTTTCAGATGCTTGGTAATTCTATCCTTAATAATGGTTTCCACCTGTTTTCCCAAAACACAAGTTAAGCTAACTGGCTTGTAGTCCCTTGGATCCTTTTTTTTAAAAATCAGCAATTTTCCAATCTGCAATCTGCAATCTGATCTTAGGGACAAAGCACAGTTTCCTTAGATGGCTTAGATGTCTTAAGGTTTTTAAGACCAACGTCGGGACACTTCCCCAAGCTATATACTGGGTCCTGAGGAATTCCTCTGGAAGAATCTTCATCTACTGTCCCACCAGTCCTTCACACCATCCACAGCTCCCAGTGTCCATATGGAAGGAGGAGGATTTCATCAAATATAAATTTAAGGGTCAAGGGGTGGCGGCAGCCTAGGCTTACCTTCTTTGCAATCTCTAGGCAGAAATCTTGTTCCACGGAGTCAAGCAGTCGGCTCTTGCAACTGGAGTACAACATGCGCTCCTTGATGCTACATTTGTAACCAGGCATGGAGTAGATGAATACTGCAAGGAAGAGAAAACAGGGCAATCAGTCATCCCTGGGTCCGGCCATGATTAATTCCACAAAACTATAGGGAGCGAAACCATGCATGCAACAACTATACTGGAAGGAAGTGCAGAACACAAAGAGTAGGAAAAAGTTTTGCAGGTGAGCATCTTCCTTTTCATGTACTGTATTGTTTTCAAAAGCTCTAGTATTAGTTATATTGGAATTCTTTGCACTAAACTAGTGATGGCCAAACTTGGCCCTCCAGCTGTTATGTGACTACAACTCTCATCAACCCTAGTTAACAGGACCAGTGGTCAAGGATGATGGGAAGTGTAGTCCCAAAAGAGCTGGAGGGCCAAGTTTGGCCATCACTGCACTAAACCAATGGCTTATGAGGCTTCTGGCACTGGAGAAATTGCATGAGCAAATACATATCATCAGAAAGGACTTAAAAGGCACATTCTCACAGATTCATGGACAGAAGAATCTGCACTGGTGGGGAGAGCCCTTTGATACATTCAGAAAATAAATTCCTATGCCTGTCTAGAGGGAGGGAAGGAAGGATGAATGAATGAACAGGCACAGATACAGTTTGCAAAGGGCAAGCAAAATTCTGGTCTGTAAAAAAAAACAAAGACAAGGCTGTAGATTTGGCCAAAGCTTACCAACTGACTCCAGATAATCTCCCTCGTGAGAGTGCTTATACAGGAAGAAGTGGTAACGGGCCGAATCCTGAGGAATTCTTTTAGGCAGGTCTGCTATCTCAGTGGCGTTGGTGTGGACCAAATCTATGGTCTCCCGTTCCAGGTCCAGCTTCTGTATAAAGAAAGGCAAGAGGACACACTTCAGAACAACATTTGGCTCAGGGGGAAACCAAGAGCCTTTGAACAAGCAGGGCTTGCACAGAAGTCCAAGAGGCGTTCAAAAGGCCAAACCGAATAGTGAAAAAGGGACTTCTCACCAGCTGGATGTAATTGATCTTCTTCTGTTTTAGTAACTGGATGGCCTGCTGAGCTTCTGGCTGCAAAGGAAAAGCCAGTCCCTGGAGGGTCTGGTGTTTGCTTTCAACGCTGATTTCAGTCTTGACCTGTTTAACAGGGGTGGGGATGGGGGGAAAGGAACAGAGGTGAAATGAAGGAAGGAGGAAAGCAACAAAGGTGACAGCAAAACACAAGCCATGCTGCTGGGGCTCGGGGCGCTCAGAAGCTGATGCATCCTGGAAGGGAAAGAGCCTGTGGCAAGGGGCTGCTAGCAGCTGCCATGGCACATGGGGATGGAGCCTGTCCACAATGCTGGACCAAGGAGAGGACCAGTGGAGAAGCCTGGTGCCCTGCTCCCTAGACTGATGCAGTTGCAGAGTAAAAGGATCAGTCTGGAGGACAGAAGAAGAATCCTGGGGCAATATTTGCATTGAGGCACTGGCAAAGTCTGCTTTCAAAACACCACCACCAGGTTTGGTAGGCAGTTGCAAGCAGGGGCGCTTCTCAGTACCTAAAAAACCCTCTGGGAAATGGAATATGAAAGAAATTTGCATGTGTTCTCATTATGTGTGTGTGTGTGTGTATATATATATATATATATATATATATATATATATGCGCCAATTTAGGTCTCTGAGCAAATTAAGACGGTGAGTGGCTGGGGTCTCGCCAGCAACTTTAAAAGCAAAGTTTAAGTTGAGGAAAGGGGCAGAAGATATGGGGCCCAGCACAAAAGACCCAGAAATCAGGCTCCCTGAGCTAGCCCCTAACATTAGCCCAGTTGAAAAGAAAAACACATGCAATCCCTCCCCAATTTTTGGTCAAGTGTATTCCATATGTTCTGAATAGAAGCTTTCATTGAAAACCAAATTGTACATCTGTTCCGATCTTTATCCAACCCCTCTCCACCACACACACCATATTCTTTTGTATCTGCCCATGTTTTGTCTTGTTTTTAAATCAGAGAAGTCTTTTTGTGGAGGGGTGGGACAAGATTTACAGAGGAGAGAGAAAGGAAGTTTCTCATTAGATTTATGAAATTGGTTAATTGTTGCAGTTCAAATGTCACATTGTTTTTAAAAAATAATAATTAAAATACAGTCTTAAGAAGGGGAAATGTTGTGACTAATTCTGGCGACTTTGGTGCACTAACACACACACATCCTGGCAGTCTCTCTTAGCTTTAAAATAATAATAAATTCATTCCAAAATAACTGCAAGTGGCTGTAGACCACAGCCTTATAAGGCTTTGCATAGTGTCACCAGGGGAAAAATCATTAGCTTTTTGCTTCCTGCTTTATAGAAGAGCAAGAAATAGGTCACACGCTTCATTGAGTAACTATCAATATTTCACTTTCGTTCTTGATAAAGGAGTGAAAGTGAGGCTTTGCTTTTTATCGTGAGAGAGAAATGTAATTTTCCGGTAGATGAAAAATTATTAAAATCCCAGCTCTGCCCATATATAATTTGGAATATATTAAGTATCAGAATAAGGAACTGGTCTGTAGAAGAATCCATGAGTGACACAGTTAGAAAGCCGGAAATGTGGAATGCCTGAAAATAATACTACTTAAAATAGATCATGCTGTATTATTTCAGGAGTAGCCAGTTGGGTCATGCTGGCTGGGACTGAGGAGAGCTGGAGTCTAGCAACATCTGTAGGGCACCATGTTGGCTACCCCTGTATTACTAACTACAAAGGAGGCAGAGAACCCAAAACTACAAGACAAACTTGTGAAAACGCCATTTAGGACAGACATGAGAAAGTAGTTCTTCATTTAAGGAACTTGCAGCCACATGAGGTGGTGGTGAATGGCAGTTTAAATGTTTTGAACAGTCCTATGTAGTATACACAGAAATTACAGATCCTGCCACAATTGGGATTCCTCCCCACTTCTGAAGTTGCAGCCCCGTCCTGGGAAGGAAGCATCAACAGAAGCTTTCTTCCTGAGGGTAGCAGCAGATGTCTGGGGGGCATTTTCACTGGGACTGCAGCACAGGAGAGTGTGAAATCTCCCTCTTCACATGGTATAGTCTCAATCCTGATCACTCACTTCCATTTCCATGGTTGTTTATTCAGAAGGTAGTGGTGGTAGGGATAGATAAACACAACCACACATTTAACCTCACTTTGGTTTGCTGCTAGCTTCTAACCAAGGCCTGGAGCTTCCCCCAATCTTTTGAAAATGCTCTGAAGGCCAACATTTTGTCTCAGCCAGCCCCAGTGTTCGAATGAGGATCAGGATTTAAAATGGAAGCCAGGAGATCACATAGCAATCTGCTTGGACCTGAGACTACAGGGATGGTCTCATTCAACGCTATGCAGTAAATAAATAAGTTAAACTCTTGCCCACGGTGTAGGGAACACTCTCCCAATCTCACCTGCACAAATCGTTACTATACAGAGGCATTATCTATGCGTCCCCAAAGCAGCCTACTAAATTTATCATCACGAGACAGAAACTGGGAGAGGCTTCCACATTCTTTGGCTGAATTGTAAGGATTGTCCTGACGTCCTTCAAATTCAAAAATAAACACCCCCTTTAACATATTTATCTTGAACTCCTGTGATTATTTTTTTTTATCTAGGAGCACTCACTCTGTGCCACATTTATCACGATAGCATTTAAGCAATTACATGCGTTGCAAGGAATCCTCCACAGAATAGGCCCTGAATTAGTGAAGATCTCTAATGCCCATTCAGATTACACTATCAACAAAACTTGCTCACCAGTATACACCAAAACCATTCCAAAAAGGAAGGTGGGGAATCAGATTCTTTCTGTTAGAAATCCACATCTCCCATTAGGGAACTTATTTCTCTCAAGGCCATTTAGAAAAATGGGACCCACGCTCACTTGGTGAGCATCACAGGAATGGAACTCTGGTTTGTTGGGAATGTTTGTTTCTTTGAGAGAACACAGAGAAGGATGCAACCAAACTAGCAATCAAGAGAAAGAATCCCCCACCACACCCCCAGCGAGAGCAGAAAGCAAAATGCAGGCAATGCCGCCTACCTCCTCAAGGTGAGGGTATTCAACCACTGATGGGCAGCAGCAACAGCCCACTACCATCTGTCATGCAGAACGTAGGGAAACGGAGTCACATTGTGACAGAGACAAGAGAAAAGAGTTACCTGAAAGTCTTCACGTATTGTGGGCTGAGCTAATAGCCAAGAAGAGCCGCTAAGCACTCCAGGAGAACACAATCCTTAAAAAGGGGGTGGAAACCATCTGCCCCATGGGTTAAGAATGCGGCACTCTAGGCCCTTGAAACTTTTCCCCGGCTGTGCCCTCCCACCCACCTCACTGCTCTGCCTCACCACAAGAGTGCCTTTGCCTGCCTGGAATGTGTCCTTGTTTGCATAATAATAATAATAATAATAATAATAATAATAATTTTATTATTTATACCCCACCCATCTGGCTGGGTTTCCCCAGCCACTCTGGGCGGCTTCCAACAGAATATTAAAATACAATAATCTATTAAACATTAAAAGCTTCCCTAAACAGATAGAGAACAGTGTGGGATAGTGTCAAAACCTCTGGCTTTTGTGAGGCTGAAATCCAGCCTGCTGTTACACCCATTGCTCAGTCTACCTTTGCCTCTGGCCTCACCCACCACTGGCATGTGCCCACCCTTCCAAGGTTGTCCGTAAGGTAGCAAAGTCTTCAGGCTGAAAGAGATTCCCCACTCCTAGTCTAAGATGTTGCCAACAGGTATACCACCTCAGATACAGAAGAGCTGCTTCACTAGGCACAGATGCCCATTTTTTGGAGGTGAAATTTCTGCAATGGGTTCTGCCTTGACTTTGGGGGCGGGGGGGGGGGGGGAGAGGAACCAGCCAGCTTTTCAAAACCCAGCTGGACTTGAAGGTGATGGCTTCAGCCCCACAGTCTTGAGCATGCACTCAGTGGGGCCAAGCAAGCATACGTGACTGATTGCACAATGGCAGGGAAAGCGGTTTCGAGTGTTGATGTAGGTTTTTGTTTCGTATTGTGTGCAAAGAGGATGTGGTCATTTTTCAATGGAAAGTACACAATTACTTTTTCTGTTGACCAGTATAATAAGAGTCAAACGGGGGGGGGGGGGAGGGGAGGGAACGCCATCCAAAAACGTGGCCAAATGCTTTCGGTTGGACTGAGGTTGTGTCTGCATGGTGCACAAGTGCAACAGGAGGCCAGCATTAACATCTTCCCCCAATACACGCTCACACTAAACGTCACATTATGCACTTTCATAAGAACGCCATTCGCTATTCAGGTCAGCATTCCCTCTTCTAGAAAATTTCTCAATTCATATTATAAGAAGGCAGCACTAGCAACATAATCTGTCCCACTTTCACAGGGAAAGACCAGCCAAGAAAATGTACAGGGGTTCAGCCACATATCCTCCACTTTACTGTATAAACGAAGTTCCCAAGCAAATGATAGCCAGTGTGGTATGGTGGATAGAGTGTTGAAATAGGACTGGGAGCCCAGGGTTCAAATTCCCATTCATACACAAAGTTATGACATGATTTGGGGCCAGTCACAATCTCTCAGCCTCCGCTACCCTACAAGTTTTGATATAGTTCAGGCTGGGGTGAAGACTATGTATGCTTGAAGTTAACATGGACTGTAAATACAATCAAATGAATAAACAAACTAGGTAACTTACTATGATACTTGGTAGCTCGGAAGTGAGTTTGAACTTACTTTAAATGTAAGGTAATAAAAACAGAGGCTAAAAAGACTCTTTAGCCCTCACCTTCTTGCAATGGCACAAAAGCGAGCCAGCAGGCTGAGAAATAAGGAAGCCCTGGAGTCCCACTGATTCCTGACCTCCCCACCCCCCAAATTACTCTATAGTTAAATGATAAATTAATTCCACGACTGTGAATCTTATATATACCCAACATGGCAACATCCATGCACAAGGGGGGAGTGTCAACAGGCTTGGGGAAAACTCAAGGTTTACAAAATATTTTAATGAGGCTAATTTTAAGGAGTCATATTTATATTTCAGTATTTACATTGCTCTGTGCTCCACAAAGATTGCATCAGTAATGTTTAGGATACCCCAATAAGGCATTTGGAGAGAGAAACAGAGGCACAGAGAGGGAGGGTGGGGATGGCATGCCTGAAGAGATGTTGGCTGACTTGAGACTGGAACTTCTCACCACACCATGAGGGACTGCAATGGATTAACTCAACACACTGCTGAGGCAGGAAGGAGGCAATAATTGTTTACCATTACTGAAAATGGTTGCATTACAGGGTGAAGTGGCTTCTACAGAACGACAGTAGCTCTTCCTCTTAAAAAGAGGCTTTGAGCTTGAGGTGAGAGCTGGCACATGCAAGAGAAGGAGCTCCATAAGGAAAACATAACTGTGAGGGAGGAGGAACACACATCACCAAGTCTACCATCTTCTCAGTGTAAAGACTCCTGGGAATCTGAGTACGTACTGAGGGCAAGTGAAGAGAAGAAACAGGAACAGCAAATAAATGCAGAACCATTTGAGAAAACGGTTCATTGTAGAGGACAATGGATAATGCTATATACAGTATATTGGGGAATTGTCACCAAAAGAAGTGAAATAGACTTTGAGGAGGACAAGGGCCTACCATCTCACTGCTGGAGGCCAGGGAATGAAGATCCTTGGAGCACATGCAAAACAAAATGGCAACAAGGTTAGCTCTGTACTAAAGCCCTCCAGAAAGGAGGATCACCAATACAGAAATGGATCAGAGTTTGAGCCACGCTAAAGAAAGGCTTTGGTATCTAAACATTTTAGCAAGCCCTGACATTGTGCACAAGACAGTAAAATAGTTTCATGCATTTACCACAGGCCTTCTAATGGAGTTCATTCACACAGGGTTACTTTCATAAAAACTAGAAGGAATGCCACACAATTCCTTCATACAGAAATATGCAGAGAAGATGAAGAAGAAAGCAAAATACAGAATGGCCGCATTCAGATTATCTTATTTGGCTTAATAACAATATTATTGAAAGGACTTGATTACTATATGAATATATTATAATTGCTAATTCCATGAATATCTCTCTTAAATTAATGATAATGTTCGGTTTTGCTTATAATATGTATATGGTATCTTCAGTAATTTATACTTTGTTTGGTTATATTGTTTTCTTTTGGGAGAAAGGTATCATTGAAGAAAGATACAAAGAACAAATTAAAAAATAATGAGCCTTTTGGCCATGCACACAGCACTTTTCTCGTCCCTGTGAATGGGCTACAATTAACCAGGAAGTCTCTACTTAACCACAGTTTCATGTTTCCTCTGATCCAAGAAACTATGTTTACCAGTTACGGAACAAGTCAGGATCATAAACCACAGGCTGCAGTTGGTTTAGAATCTTCCATAACAGATAAGATGTGGTTAACCTGCAGTGGAAAACACTGGGATCTACTTTTTGGATAATTTCCAAAGCAGGACCAAATTTGATATACTGACTTGTAGACTAGCACAGTACAATAAAGTACTGACTTAAATTGACTAAGCGAAGCCATCGTGCTCTAGGGTTCAGAACCACCTGTCAGTCACAGACTCTGCAGTGGAACGAAGAGGCCCACTTGGTTCAAGTGACAGGATTTATTGACAGAACAATGTTTTTCGAGGTAACATGACCCTGAGCATCAGCCAGTTTTCCTGAACGGAGACATGGACTATGGGTCAGCGCATCAACCTCCATCTCCTCAAAAGAAATCTGCCAGCAACTTTTGTTACCATAAATGCTACTTTCTCCAGACACATTTCACATCTAGTATGGCAAGCGGGTGAATGGGTGGCTGGTTTGGGCCCCTAGTCGTTCACAGTGTGATCCTATGTATGTCTACTCAGAAGAAAGCCCTATTGACTTTGGTGGGACATACAACCAGGTAACTGTGTCTAGAGGGTTGCAGCCTTGGACCCTGAAAAGGAAATGCTAAACTGTTCTCTCTCTGTCTCCGAAGATAAACATTGCAACAAAAAGTTCTAAGAGAAACTACAATTCTGTCTTAAGAAACCACTCCTACGTTAATCTGAGCTAAAGAACTATGCAGGTTTCAGATGGACTAAAGAACCTTCAAATGCATTTTTATGTTCTGTTACAAGAAACCAGAATAAGATGGAAGGGTTTAATGCTGAAAGTCCGGAAATTCCCAAGCCTTAAGTCTGCCCTTGGAACTCAGCCAATTATGGTATCCATCATTTCTCTACTTCTCTTTGGTAAACATCCACAATCAGAGTAATCTTAATGGTATGCACTAAAAGCACAAAATATTGCCTCCCCAAAAGAGTCAGTAGCACCTTTACACCTGAGATTTCAGAAGGAAATCTGCACCGGTGTAACATTTGGATTATTTGACAGACCATTTTTTCTAACTCCATAGAACACGGTATACTACTGAAGTCTTCACATTCATTCTTGGGTATTTCTGAACTAACACAAATTACTGCCATTTCAGAGACACCGTCCAGTACTGCGTGCCACACTCCAAATACCTTCCACACTTGCCTTGACACACACATTGAAGTCCCTATTTTTATTTCTATGCCTCTCCAAATTAACAAATGTTTTAAAGTGATATAATTGTCATAATTTCCAAATGATTTATTATGCAGAGTAGAACATTTCAATGGTGGCCGCATTCAAAAACTTTCCAACCTGGCATGCACATTCTAGCGCATGCAGTCATTCAAAATGGTTTTTAGACACTGTATAGAGTTTTCATATTCATTGTAGAGAACGATCCAATGAAAACATCACATCTTTCTCAATGATACACTTTAACCACAGCTTTTTTTCAGAGTGAACATGGCAGAATGCAGTTCCAGCACCTCTCAGGTGGGTGCCATTGCCATTCTAAGAGAAAGAAGGAGGCATTCATGGTGAGATCCAGAACCTCTTTTTTGATAAAAATAGCACTGATTTCAACCAAATCCATCCTATCCAAGGCCAACTTGAATGAAATATTTGACGGGGGGGGGGGGAGCTAAGCCGCACACCACATAACTGATCACAAAACACGATACATGCCCACCATCTGAATGGCAGTGCCCATCAACTTTTGGGGAGTGGCCCCCTCAATTATTTTATAGGAGGGGTGTGCAAAGGTACCTTGGTCTCTAGGAGTTGGCTCCTATGATCCATGGGCACTTCTAATTTGCGATTTACTAATGCTTTCAAAACCCTTGAAATTAGTATTATATTTAAAAGTGATGTGGGGTGTGTGTGTGGGAAAACCCTTTTAACGTCCTTTGGATTTGAAGAACAGGCGTGCAAAAGGATTTGGCCTTCAAGCATTTCACATGGGCAAACAGCCGTGCAGAGCCAAAACGATCTTACGCAAGAAGACTGACGTCTTTTTTGCTGCACAGGGATGAAGGGATATTAAGAATAAAACCTGGGAGCAAGTTTTTAGTGAACTCAAAGGGACTTACTTCTGAGTAAACATGCTGTTAAATTGTCCCATTTCCTTTAGGCTACTTACACAGCTTGCTTTTCCAACACTGGTGTGACTCTGATGCAAGAACATGACAGAGTACTACAACAGAGAGCTTTTGAAAAGAACAAAACTAGTTTTGAGAGCATTCAACCTGAACACTAGAAGGTTGGGAAAGAAATGCCAAGGTGTGCCTAATGGGCCACCTGAATGCCATCCTGGGAAGTCAGGCAAGTCACAGAAAAGCAACACTCCAAGAACTCAGCAACCTCTCTCTTGGGGTGAAAGAGGACAGAAGCACTGCACAAACAGGCACTCATGCGTTAGGCACAGAAAGGCAAGCATGGAAGAAATACAACTCACAACACACTGATTTCCATCACCACCCTTTAAAGAAGCAGAGTCCCCCTTCTAGCATCAGCTAAAATCCACTGCTTGATTATGAAACCTGCAGTCAATAACGTGTGCCATTTTCCCTACTGGTCCAGAACTGTTATCACCAGCCATTTGCCTCCAGTAAACAAACAGGTCAAGGCTAGCAGAGGCTTATCAATGGGGATCTGCTAGCGTTCCTTACCTAATTGTCGAGTCTAATAAATTCTGCCCCTCAGTCTAGTTAGACATGCCAAGGGCGCTTGAAAGCTAAGGCAGAGGGAGAAAGGGGCAATCTTAAGTTTTAAGGGCTTAGCGAAGCCGGGGACAGGGATGGGCCCTTACATGTTAAATGCCTAACATGATGCTAGCACCTTGAGATACAAAGATTGCCCAATTAAACCTCTCTCTGTGTGTGCGTCACTAGAACTTAACCCTATGGAAAAGATACCAGTACTAATACATATTTCAGGCTTTTGTCGTCAAAGCTCTGCCCTTCACTCAAGGAAATTGGAAAGACAGAGAAAGGATAGAAAGCAAGCAACAAAAAGCACTTACCTGGGCTGTTTTACCCTGCAAGACACAGGCAAAAAGCAGCTTAAATCAAACAAAACTAAAATAAGGCTCGTAGCAAGGCAACTCTGAACAAGAACATTGCTACTTCTGTAAAACAAGACGACAGAAGGCACAAGCCTGCCTGGACCTGGGCTTTCTACCCAGGCACCTCTTAAGCCAGTTGTGATGGCACAGTGGCAAGAGAGAGATGTTCTGTATGTGCTCAGAAGTGCTGTCTTCTGTAATAACAAGTTAAGGAATAACAGGAGACTTGGTTCCTGGACTGAAAATCCATTCCAGAGCAAGGTTACATAGCTGTTGTCTCATTAAGCAGCAAGGCAAGAATTGTCTTTAATGAGAGGCATCTCCATCCACTAACAGGCATCAGGGGGTAATGATACCTGAGTGCATGCTGGAGGGGACAATCCCTGCACCTTGACGAGGGTGCAATGAGTCCTTGGCAGTGCTAGAAAAAAAGGGGGCAAAATGGAGCACGATAGGAGGGATTTAAGATAACTGTCCCTTGGCTTTGTAGCATCAGTTCCAAAATGGAAAACTGGGAGGATGGAATCAGAGCTTCTGGTCCCCACAGCCCAGAAATGTGGGTGCTTTGCATAATATCTTGTCCTTACAGTTGGGCCACCAGCATGAATGTCTTTCCAAACGGAGAGCACGTCGTGCAGCACAGCGCATAAGCTCCCAAGCTCAATTCCTCTCTCGAATGGAGGGTCAGCAGAGACCTTGGCTCAAGAGCTGGGAGAGAAGCTGCAAGGACTTGCTAGGCAAAACGGAGCAATGTCTCAACTCTGTACCAAGCAGTTGGTGTCCCCTCCACTGATAGAAGGCCCCTTCCCCCTGTGACCCCCTCAAGCTGGGCAACAGTTTGGGAGGTGGAAATTGCTGAGGATCATGTTGATCCCTCTGATGCTGGCAGGAGGCTCCGGAGTGTCCCAGGACAAGGGGACGGAGAGAATGTATCTGCCTGCCCAGGGACAATTCATTTACTTCTGTTTGCGCATTATGGCATCCAACCAGGAGCACGAACAGTTGCAATCGCAGACGAATTCTGTCTACAAAGTACTCTCTCTGTGTTGTCAGGAGATGCGAGGGAGGCAGGGAGAGATGCCACTGTTTAGGCTTTCACCGGTGATAACCAATTCTGACATCTCTCCTGCCACAGTGACAACAGAGGCCCTGCACGTTGACCCAGGAAAAAGAAGCTCTGAACAGAGGACTCTCTGTCCTAACCACTCAGCCATGCAGGGATGGCGATGGGCAGAGGCAGAGCTGGGCGCCTGTCAGCAGAAATATTGACATGCATATTCAGAGAAGGGTGCGGAACGAGAGGGGATAACTGGGCTGGGATTATTTCGACTGACTTGCTGAACAAGGAAATGAGAGGTGGGTGGACAGAAAGAGGCTGTATCTTTTGTACATGGGTCTGATATGTTAGGGGGCTGGTTGTGATTGAATGGTGGTGAAAGAATGGTCTTCTGCACATACTTGAAGATATTGCCTTCTGCAATATGTGGAACTGTAATGGGCAGGGCAAGCTGATTACAAGACAAGGATCAAGGAAGGCAGGAACTGCTGGGGTGAGCTGCATTTTTTAAAATGGGCAAACTCTAAGTTGTGTGGAGTTGATCAGATTTATCCATTCTCTGAGTGTCAGTCCTTATGCAGCCAAAACAACCCCATCTATGCACAAAAAAGGACCTAACATCAGGTCTGGGCGAACCCCAAAAGTTTGCAAATGTACAAAAAAAGGTGAAAAACTTGAGGGGGGAAGTGAATCTCAAAAAACAGCCCAATGAAAACTAAACACGCTCAGTGGCCATGGAATGGGGGAGAGGAGGGAAAGGAACTAGGGGAGAAGAGGGAGGGGAATGGCACGGCCAGCATTGTTCCACACTGCAACACTTTGCTACCGTGAGCGATCTAAATTTCTCCAAGCGCCATAACACTTGCTCAAGAGAGAGAGACATCAGTAGGCTTGGGGAAAGATTTGCAGAATGACAAAATATTTGGTGGGGGGAGGAAACCTTTGCTAGGGAAATCCCCAAACATGATTATGCATGCTTAGTCAGCTGGAATGCTGACTCTGACTATGTGGAGGGGGGGTAGACAGAAAACTGGGGGCAGCGAGGGTGGGGTGGAGTGCCCTGAGAGAGCGTGTGACTAGAAAGGCTCACTCCACACCGCAACATCAAGCTCCAGTAGTCTATATAAAATGAAACTTGGTTTCAATATTTATGGAACTTTCCCAACATACAGAACGTTGAAATCAGGTACACGCAAAGCTCTAGGTAAACTCTGATTATTAGAGAAAAATGGGTGGGAGGGAGGAACATGTTTGGTGCCTAAAATGCACACACCCACCTCTAACTTAGAGGCAAGATTGCTACCCAACTACTAGCATCCCGGACCTCAACCTGGTCAGTACAGATACTGAAGGGTATATGGAAAACAAGTAACACAGACAAGAAATAAGTCACTATTTGGAGCTCTAAGTTTGGGAAGGGAGAAATTATCCTGCATTGGTTTTTTCCAGTCCACACCGACTGAACGCCAACCCAAGTAACATCCCCCAGAACAGCAAATCCTTTTCAGCGTTTCCAGCAAAGCACAATACAATTTGGTGCTTCTCTTGCACTCCTAACACCGAGCAAAAGAGGTATACTTTTTTAAATGATTTAAATTTAGACCATGACAGAAGCTTAAAGATGGAAACGAATGCAGAGGAATTTGGGAGACCCAACTTAACGAAACTAAATTTAGAGAGAATCCGTTTTTGGGGTAGTTCTTCCAGATCCTCCCTCCCTCGACTCCAAAGCAAGTGTTCCTTTGCCATCCTCCTTGCCTTCCCCACTCTAATTCCCTGTTTTTTAACAGACAGAAACCATTATTATTATTTTTTTACAAAAAAAAAAAATACTTTCCAAACCAACTCTCTTCCCCAGTCCATGTCCCTCAATCTCACTGATGTGGCGCAGCCGTTGTTGTTTTAAACACCTCTTGTCCATTCCTCCGGCTTATTCCTGGGGGAAACCACTGGCCCCACCTCAGTCCATGTCCCTCATCTGCAGTGGGGACAGGGCGTTCCTGGCTCTTCCCTGCTTTTCCTTTTCCACCCACTCTCACCTTTATAAAAACACAATGTTAAGTCTCCCTGAAAGTGCTTGCCGCACATTTAAGTGTTTATCTTACTGCACTTATAAGCTCATTTTAGAAACAGCTGAAAGCAATTTATTTCTGCCTGTTTTCAGGCTTCTGCATTAGCCCTTCTGGGAGAGAACGATAACATCCCAAAGGCTTAAGTCGGTGCAAATGACAACACTGGCTGCCGCACCAATAGTTGCTAAATCACCATTTGAGTTGACCATCATCTGTGGCTGGGAGATCGGAGCTGTCAAGGGTCAAATCCTGTCAGTTAAGAAAAACTGTCTGTATACTGTATATACATATTATACTAAAGGAGGAAGTGGCAATAGAAAACAATGCATGGAAGACTCAAATGGTGAAGACGATAATGAAATAATACAAATTGAGAATTCTATTATTGAACAGTTACTGCATTTGTATAAGGTAATGGCCCATATAAATTTCTAAATCCCTGTAAAGTGCTGTAGCATCATCTTAACTTGGATGGCATTTTTTGCTTAAACTTGGAAGGCTATCTGATTCTACTCCCCACTCTCAGGCATAGAATAGGACCTTAGCTCTGAACCAATTGATAATTTATATCAACCGCAGTTCCATGAAAGTCTCAGATTGCCTTAAAGCAGAGATGGGGAAACTTGTTCCCTTCAGATGCTGTTGGACTCCAATTCCCATCAGCCCCAGTCAGCATGGCCAATGGTCAGAGATCATGGGAATTCTGCAACAACTGGAGGGCCAGAAGTTCCCTGCCCCTCTCAGGATTAATTTCTCCTTCTTCACTGCTTACCCCACAGGAGTAGAATGCCAGCATTATGGCTGTGAGAAGGGACAACTGTATGGGGAGACTGCTCAGCAGAGTAGTCAGAATTAATTGATTGACTACCAAAAATGATCTTGCCCGAATAAACCCAGAAAGCCATCGGAAAGCTACAGGAGCACACTTGTTTGGTTCAGGCAGATTAAATGCTGTGCCCTAAATTAGTGCTGACATGATTGCTGTGTAGAATTTGGCTGCACAGTGGTTGCAAAGCTCCTACTGGACAGCGCCTGTGACGGGAACTGCACTGGGTGGGGGCACGGATTCATCTCCCCATATGGCTATGTTCTGGGACTGACAAAGGTGGGCAACTGAGAAAACACAACAGCGAGGCATGAAGCAGGTAAGGAGAAACTGCAGAAACAGACTCTGCAAGGGGGTAATGGCACAGGAATGGAAATTTGGAGGCAGGGAGGAGAAACTATACCCATAGTAGTTTGTGCCTTGAGAAGCTTTCCACCCAATATTGCAAATTTTCAGTTTCCTTAGCCAGTGTGTACAGCCCAAAGAGAGGTGGCGGAGGAGGGGACACTGTTATGGCCACCCCTCTCTGCCACCAGCAACAAGGCTTTATCCCTTCAGTCTAATAGAATGCACACTGTAAGTCGCTCTGCTTGCTCTATGAGGCATAATAGTGCCAAAGGAAAACCATGATTAGCTGGGCAGGATCACCAAGCAATCTTTTGGATCAGTGCCACGATGTGCTGCCTTTACCTCGTTGATGCGGATCTGCTGGAGCTCTTGTTCAGCTGCAGTCAGAGGAGCTGGAGCAGAGTAGGACGACACGTGCTTCTGGTAACCGCTGAGCGAGATGTCTTCCTGTAGTCAGACAGAGGTGGTGATGTAGCAGCCACAGATATGGTTCCAAGTACAACAGAGATGAACGGGGGCACATTTTCTTATGGGCTACATAGGTCAATGGCTGTGAACCTTACACCCAAAGGCAACTCCAGTTAATGTTATCAGCTGGCTTTGGTGTGCAGGGCTAGGAATAGCAACTCACTGTTAGCATCAACGCTCTTGACAAGCTCTCGTTTAAAACTGCAGCATAGCACACATTGCTAAAAGGGGGCGTCCCCTATTTCCAACATGATAAAAGAGCACGTAACACATTAACTCATGGGTAGGCAAACTAAGGCCCAGGGGCCGGATGTGGCCCAATTGCCTTCTCAATCCGGCCCGCGAATGGTCCAGGAATCAGCATGTTTTTACATGAGTAGAATGTGTCCTTTTATTTAAAATGCATCTCTGGGTTATTTGTGGGGCATAGGAATTCGTTCACCCCTCCCCCATATAGTCCGGCCCCCCACAAGGTCTGAGGGACAGTGGACCGGCCCCCTGCTGAAAAAATTTGCTGACCCCTGCTAACTGATCCAAGAAAAAGGAGCAGTAGTGGCTGGCAGGTGGTGAAGGCAGGATAGTGTTGCTTACCTGGCTTCCCAAATCTGTGCATGACGTCTGGTTACTGAGAGAAGAGGGGCAAGGAAGCAGATAGCTCAGCACAGTGCGGCTGCAGCAGTGGAGTCAACCCAATGCTCCGGCCACTGCACCTACACAGAGCTCTCCACTTCTCAGTAATTGGCAGCGCCATGAGCCACTGAGAAGTCAGGTAAACAATGTCGCCCTGCCCTGACAGCTGCTACTGGAAAGGAGTTCTTCGGTCAGTTTCACTACGACCCAGAAACAAGGGCATGGAATGCATTTGTATGTAATGCTAGACCATGGTGTGGTGCAACAAGACTGAGCCTGTGCAAGTCACAGGCACATGTGTTCTCCCCCCAGAGCATCCATGAGAAAAAGTGAAGAAACATCTGTTCTTCATTAACCAGGGCAAGCAGAGTCTGAACTGTAAATGGTGGTTCAACTTAACTATGGCTTTCTAAAACAAGCCAGCTTAATAAATCATAGTTCATCAAGCTGGTTTTATTTGGAGTAAATCTCAGTTAAAATCAACCTACTGTTTGTCCAGGTTCAGACCTAATGCTAGGCTGTGCTTAGAGAAAAATGGAAGCAAAAGCTTTCCAGTTCTTCCCTGTGGCCAACTGCAGAGACTCCTCCACCCAAAGAAGATCGCAGGTGTTGGCAACAAGCCCATACAAGTTTGACTCTGTTGCTGGAGGCATGGGGACCAGCCAATGGTTAACAGCATAGAATCACAATGTTTTCAATGTAAAAGGCATAGCTTAAAAGAATAAATATGCCACCACTGAGAGGAACTTGTCCAATGTTAGCCGGTCAAGTACACTGGGCTTAGTATTAGATTTCCTGTCAAATGACAGGCATGTCTTGAGGATTTCACACTTATATAGAACTACTGAAGGTTGCAGACAAACAGAAATGCAAGATTCCTCCCACGCTATATAGTGTGATCTCATTTCATGAGCAATGCTGCCACCTTATGGTGCTTTCCTAGAAAGCCACAGTGCCATGAAAACCATGGCTAGCAAACCAGGGTTTGCTATTGCATCGTGTGTAGAATCATGGACTACCCAAGTTTCATATCAGTACACCCACCCAAAAGGGAGTGCTCGAAACTTGATGTTAAGCCTATGCGCCTCCTTTCCTTTCTGTCTTTCCATCCATCTATCCATCCACCTAGGAGTACTGCTCTAATTATGGAGAGGAAAGGTAGAGACAGGGCCTTAATGAAGACCACACAGCCCGAACTCCGACCCTCACCAAGTGTGGATCCAAAAGGATTAATAATAATAATAATCACAAATTAAATAAATCTGTGGTGGGGGGAAATGGGAAACACTTGACGATCTCAGTTAGTTTAAGAACTTAAGAAACCTGTTGTATCAGGCCAAAGGTCCATCATCCTGTTCACACAGTAGCCACCTTGATGCCCATGGAAAGCCCAAAAGCAGGACATGAAAGCAACAGCGCTCTCCCTACCTCTGCCAGAGGCATACTGCCTCTAACAGTGGAGGTCAAACACAGCCATCATGGCTAGTAGCCACTGATAGCTTTATCTTCCAGTTTCCCAGAAAGCTTTTATTACTACTGTTAACACACTTGATTTTCTTCTGCCTTAAAGAACCGAAAACTACTCAAAGGGGGTGTGGGGGAGGGGGTTAAATTGACCCAGAAAAATGCCTGCTTTCTAGATGTAAGGTTCTCAGCAACAGTACAAGACAACAATGGCTAAGGCTCTTCCTGACGGCCCTGCTGCATATTGCCGTACCTTAACTGTTCCAAAGAGCTCGTCCTTCACATGCCCTCCTCCAAACTCTTTCTTCACTGTTGCTCTGGTTGCTGCATAGAGCATCTTCAGTCTAACCTGGTCATACAGAGAGAAACATCAGTGACAAGTGACAAGTCATTCCATGAGTATGAAAACAGAAGAAGAAGAAGAAGAAGAAGAAGAAGAAGAAGAAGAAGAAGAAGAAGAAGAAGAAGAAGAAGAAGAGGCAGCTGCCTATCAGACTGGGTTGCCCCAACCACTCTTGGGTGGCTCCCAACACAATATTAAAAACACAAGAAAACATCGGCCATTAAAAACTTCCCTAAACAGAGCTGCCTTCAGATGTCTTCTAAAAGTCATATAGTGAATTATCTGTCTGACATCTGATGGGACGGCGTTCAACAGGGCAGGCACCACTACCAAAAAGGCCCTCTGCCTGGTTCCCTTTAACTTCACTTCTCACAGTGAGGGAACTGCCAGAAGGCCCTTGGAAATGGATGTTGGTGTCCAGGGTGAACGATGAGGGTGGAGATGCTCCTTTAGGTATACAGGGCCAAGGCCGTTTAGGGCTTTAAAGGTCAGCACCAACACTTTGAATTGTACTTGGAAATGTACTGGGAGCCAGTGAAAATCCTTTAGGATTGGTGTTATATGGTCCCGGCTGCTGCTCCCAGTCACCAGTCTAGCTGCCGCATTCTGGATGAGTTGTAGTTTCCGAGTCACCTTCAAAGGTAGCCCAGTCTCCCAATTACAATGGTCATGGAATGTTGTAACTGCAGGGTTTTACATTTGTGTGTTCTGAGCACATTCTTTATTAAGGAATATGTCCCCTTGCTAACTACTGTTCCAAAATACATTCAGACAGACTAGATAGTCAACCATGTGAGGGCTTGCAAGTATAAAATCTATAGGGCTGCCAATATAAGCAATTACACAGAGTCAATTGAACTGGCAGCTATTCCCCAGGAGGTATTATGGATGATCTTATCACAGAGTTCAACATCAGGACTTGGGGGATGGTTAGCAACTATTGTTCCTATTACTGTAACCTTTTTACCTTAACTGCCTTCACAGCTAGCAGGGTTTTATGTTTTAATAACTGGGCGAAATATTCAAGTTTATTGATACTTGGGTAAACCTCCACCCCTGGCCGAGGAAAAAAAATAACTTGACCCTCTCTCATACTGTTGGTGGCTAAATATGAATGCTGTTAGCACAGGTAAGACACAGAAATATACGTATTTCAATATAAAAATATTTACACTCTGCCATTTGAATTAAAAATAAAAATCTTCAAAGCAGCTCAAATTTAAAATCCAAATATTTTTTAAAACTATGAATAAGGCAAAATGCCACAAGCAGAACAGAAGAAAATTAGTAACTCATTAGTTAAATGGTAAAAAGAAAGTCAGCAGGGACACACATATTGTATTCCCTCAAACTCAGTCCTGCAGACCTTCTGAAAAAAGCACCTCCTTTGCTGCCTGTCTAAATGTTAGCACAGTAAAACTTCCCAGGAAAGAGTTCCACAATTCTGGCAGCATTTTTGGTGCCACTGTTAAAAAGACTTGTTCCAGAGAGTAACCATACACTACACTGAAGAGAAGAAAGGATCCAGATCAGAACCTCCACGGAAAATCTCAAAATACAGGCAAATTCATATGGGAGCCCCAAGGATTCACAGCAACCTTCCCCAACCTGAGGCCCCCTTAGATGTTGCTGGACTCCAACTCCCATCATCCCTGACTATTGGCTATGCTGTCTGGGTCTGATGGGAACTGGAGTCCAACAACATCTGGAGGCCACAGGTTGGGGAAGGCTGATTTAGGAGTTTTATGATTTTGTATTATTAAAATATTTATCAACTTCACTTTCATAGAAAATGTAACAAGGTGGTGATTTAAACACGGGTGCCGATTTAAACATGGGTGTCGTACGTTCCCTTCAGCTTACCATAGTCAGAATTCTGGCAGTGTCAATCTCCACACAACCCCTCCATATTCTAGCCATCAAAGGTTTTAACTATGCAAAAACCATTTTAGAGTAATGTGTGGTCTGCATTTTATTTATTTATATTACTCTTCCTTGTGTGTGTGGTGACCAGGGTCAGGACTTTATTTGTGGTGCTACTTCTTCAGCAGCTGTGAAACTCCTTCCCTCCTGAGATATGGCTGGTGCCACCATACGTACCTTTTTTTCTGCCACCGTCTAAAAACATAGCTATTCACTCCAGGCTTTTGTAGGGGAGTGAGCTTTTAGGTGGAGATTTGCAAACGGGTGTTTTTAAAAGGCTGTCTTATTTCAGCTGGCTCTGGTGTTTAAATTGTTGGCTTAAGTGTACGAACTGTTTTTACCAATTTTTATTGTAACCTGCCCTGTAATGACTTTTTGATGAAGGGTGGCATATAAATGCATTCAATACATAAATGGGGGAGAATGTTTCCACTGATTTAGCTGATGATCCTTTAAAGAAACCTGGGGTGATCTGGGAAAGAGCTAGGGAAAAAGAATGGGAGCACTTCTCACAGTAATGACAAGCCATGTTAAAACATTGCCTGTGTTGGCCTCCAGATGGCATGCTAGTCTAATAAGAGCGGAGATTATAGGAGCAAGAGTTCTGCAAGATTCTTTCAGAGTAGATCACAACACAAATGCCTGGGAATGCAAGAATGTGTAAATAGCAGTAGATAAGTACAACCCTCCGTATTTACCCTTGTCCACAGAAATATTGTATGATGAAACAATAGGATACATTAAGTCCTTAAGGTTATCATCTCTGTTTGTAGGGTTGTTGTTTTTTAATCAAGTGATGGTCCATTGGACTGTTCTGTAAAGTCTGTTTTGAATGAATTCCTAAACATGGTGAGAAAGAATCACCTCCAATTTCCACATGATATTAAACCAGGGGTAGGGAACCCCTGGCCTATGGGCTGATCGTAGCCCTCTAGGCCATGTTCCCCAAACTGTGCCCACCTGCCCATCACTGGTGATGTCAGCTGGTGGATGGAAGGACCGTGTTCAGTCTTGCATTGGCTGCACGATCCTCTTCCCAGAAGGGAACAGGACCTACTTTTTCACCTACAACCCACTGCATAAACCAGCTACCCATGCTGGTTCAGCTCTGAGCCCTAGGAAGGCTAAAGCCAAGCAGAAACAAAGCAGAGGCTTACAGGAGAGTTGTCAGGAGACCAGGAGATGAAGAGCCACTCGTAGCCCTGTGCATTCTGGGTGTCCAGGCGGTAGAGGATGTAGCATGGCTGCAGCTCATCCAGCAGCGGCAGCACAAATGAGTCGTAGTCCTTATCCCAACGTCGAGACAGTTCTTTGTAGGCTCCAAGCACCAACTGCTCTGCAAGTTGGAGGGGCGGGGCAGAGAAAACGAAAGAACTGTCAGCAAAAAGATGTGGCACTGAAACGCAGCATCGGTCATTTACAACCAGGGATAAGGGAACCTTCTGCAGCCCCAGAACCACATGCAGGGCAACTTTCTGGAGGTTACAGGACAGTGGTGGGCAGAGCCTTTGTCTTTGTACAGTGGGCTGTATACATCTCAGCCATGCAAGCCAAAAGTTTCTACACCTGCCCACCCTGCCCCCCAAAAAAGAGGAAAATTATCAAGGATGCATTCTAGCCAGGCAAAAGCACCTGAGGAGGGTGTGATGAAGAGATTCCCAAGAGCTGGAAAGAGGCTAGGAGGTCTAGGGGGCTGCGGTTGGGCCACCCAGACCTTTTCTAAATCAAGGGTGAGGAACTTGCCACCTTCTCCCGCCAACCCAGATACTTTGGTAAGGCCCACACACACTTGGTTCATCATCATCACCACCACTACCTTAATTTGTTGAAACTATGCTCAAGGCAGCTTACAACATGACAAGATTTACATAATTACAAACATAACAGAAGTCATAAACAATAAATAAAACGCATCAAAAAGTACACAACTTAATGGAAACAATTTCCACATAAATCATAAGATCTGAAACTAAAGATACAACAACATCAATAACAGCAACAGCTGCCTCAACTCCCCGTAAACAATACTCCAGCCCAAGAATCTGTTCAACAGCCTCAGCTTTTGTAGCTGGAGTGAGTCAGCACTCCACTCTCCCAGGCCAGATGGGAAAGGAACAGTAAGGCAGGGTGCAGGTCTTACAAGGCTTACAGCCAATATGGTCTCATTTAAAACAACACAGATAAAAATTAAGAACAGTTGGAAAGAGGAGTCCTCAGTGCTAAGCAGCAGCTACAGTCCTTGTGAAGCCTGTCAAGCCCCGTCCCAAGCCAAGTGGAAGGAGGCAAGGGCAGGGCCCTTCAGGCCCTAGGCAGGCAGTCCTCCTTGGCTACAATTACGAGCATCTTGGCTTTCCTTCCTTCTGAGAACCCCTGCTCACTCTTTTTGGTCAGAGAGACAGATCTGAGCACTTTGTGGGCAAAAAGTTCTGCCACGTTCCCTATGGCTGAAAAGAGGCGATAGTTCTGTTTCATGGGTTATGGAAAAATAAAAGGAGTTGGGTGCAAAGACAGAACGTCTGCATCATGTATTGGTCTTCTTCACTCCCAAGAGCACAACTCTAGGAACACAGCAGGAATGGCGGACCTGTGATCCTAGAGCCGCTCTCCTTCACTGTTGGGAACGACACCCTTGTTCTGCATCACGGAACTGAAGGGGGAAATCTGTTCATGGAAGTGCCTCTTGAACGGACTGCATAAGGTTACAGAAGAGATTGGAAGGGGCACAGAAGAGATGCAGAAAGCGCAAGGACCGTGTGCCTCCCTCTTCCCCCAACCCCAGCATGCTGCTGTCAGACTGCAACTCTGGCAGGGCAAGAGTTTTCAAAAGCGAGACCCATCCCTGACTGTGTTTCTTCTCAGCATATATTGGAACACCCATTTTATGTTGACACAGCTGTAAGGTTCTGGACAATCCCTTTTGAAATACAAAGGGCCATCTGGCAATGATAATAACCTGGCAGTCCTATAGATTACATAATGAAACCAGCTCCTATGTATGTGTATAAAAAAGAAGCCCGGCCTAGAGACTTTGCCACCGACAAAGGGAACACTAATACTCTGAGTCATGGCTTGCTTTGCTACATGCAGAAAGTCTCAGGTTCAAATCTAACACTGCTACTTAAGAGCATTGGGTAGGGGAAATACCTGTGTGCCTGAGACCTTCCAATCAGGATAGACTGTCCAGTACATGGGACAACAGTTGGCTCTAATATAAGGCAGCTTCATGGGATTTTATGTTGGGGGGGAAACAGAAAACCTTTCTGCTTGGGCTAGATTTCTACATCAGGGAGAAGGCAAAGCAAGATCCCAGAGGGGTAAACGATGTGATTACTCTGAATGTACCTATCAGCCTATAATCAGAGCTTCTGAGTTAGGCAGAAAATATGAAAGCACTCCAGGCCCTGAGACAGTGACCACTTGGCTGGGTAAGTGATAGCTATCTGTTGCATCATTTGTTTTGTTTCTACTGCAGACCCATTTCCCAAGGGCTATGTTTTTCGGGAACCCTCGAGTGCCCATGTTAACTCGCTCTCCGATTCACTCATGATAAACAAAAACAAAAAAGGGGCCAAGAAGGTCACAAGGACCTTTGCCAGAACTCAGCCTCATAAAAACATAACAAAATGTTTCTGTTTCAACACAGAGGTGGCCAACTTGCGGCCCAGATGTTGCTGGTCAACAGCTCCCATCATCCCTGACCACCAGCCATGCTGGCTGGGGCTAATGGGAGTTGGAGTCCTGAAACATCTGCAGGCCTGAAGTCCCATGCCCCTAGGCTAGAGCCACTCAGGCCTCCTGCCTGCCTGCCAAATCTCCTCGACCATTCTTGTCCTTATAAAGCTATCCCCTGTAGTTTCAGGTCAGCAAAAAAAAGGGGGGGTGGGGAAGAGAGAAATTAGGAATGTGGGTGTCACTGTGGGTGTCACTCAGGCTGCGGAGACAGCCCCGGAAATGTCCACTTCCCTCTAGGATGCAAAACATGCCCTCAGCTAGCAGCTATTTCCTGCCCTTTCATTTACTGCTACTTATGCCACCTTAGCAAGTTTTTGCTTTTACGGAAAGTCGATTTAACCATCTGAGAGCTTTCAGTCTGCTGTTTAAAAACTGACTGAAAAAGTGAGTAAATATTGCAGTTCAATCAAATATAAAATTCTAATTTGACCTCCCGAGGAATGATGCATCCAACTACACACACACAACTTTGTGGTTCAATTATCTTTGCGAAACACTGTGTGATGCACTTCTACAGTTTCCTGTTCTGACAAGTTTGCCACAACCCTTGATCCCACAATGAAGCAGCAATGCAAACCATCAATGGCCAGCACATGATATGGTGGAACCATGTTTCTGAAATGGAAATATGTATACAGTTGATGGGGAAATGAAAGGAGCAATTATTAATGATCTAAATGAAAATTCTAATTTGAAGTGCATCCAATCTAACCAGTTTTGTTTGTTTGTTTGTTTGTTTGTTTGTTTGTTAGGAGGTGGCTGGAGAACCTCCAATGAACAGCCATATATGGTAACTCAGCATCCCTAGTTTAATGCTCTGTTTCTAGATTTTCTTGCACACAAATTTGAACCTTCTTAAAGACCTAAAAAACTTTCCACCATTAGTTTGGATAGATAGAATTATTACCAGTCACGATGGCTCTGCCTATCCTCCTGCCTTTCTCTTTTATTCTTTAAACGCGCACGCACGCACGCACGCACACACACACACACACACACAAAGGTGCACATGTCCATTTAACATTATGGGAATAAACATAGATGAACTGCAGATACATTACAAATCAGAAACTGCCCACTCAAGCAGGAAATGACATCACGATGGAGAAGCAAATTGCACACTGGGAAATATGATGCATTATGGATCACCTACAAATATACCACTTTGGAAGATTGGTGGCCTACCACATGACTTAAGGTTCCCAGGGAGCCACAGTCCATTGTCGCTTCGCAGTGTATGCCCACAATGCTTTTCTGTTTGTCTGGAGGTGGCCCATGCCTGTTTCAAACATTTGTTTATTTCCTTACATTTCTACCCTGCCTTTTCTCCATCACAGAGCCCAAGACAGCATGCATATGGTTCCCAAGCAGCCTCCCATCCAGGCACAGGCCAGACCCAGGCCTGCTTGACCACAGCAAATGGTGACCTCAAGTGCCTTTAGACCACATGCGTACAAGCAACGAAACAACAAACCAGGCCTTCAAATATGTGCCTGATCTTGGCCTGTCAATTATCAGTCAATCTGAAGATGAGAGATCAGGGAAAACACTTTCAGGATTCTTCACACAAACCCTGAATTGTCTCTTTAATTCTCTGCAAACAATAGGAAAACAACAATATGTCACAAACAAACAATGCAACAGCTTGAACAGCAGCAGGTCAGGCAGCCAACACATGTGGCCTTTTTTTTTTAACCTGTTCGGTCATGTTACAACAGGGACCATGCCAGAATGCTGCTGACCTCTTGCAATCTGCACACGCCCCTTCACACAAATTCCCCTTCCACTAAGTTCCACCCTTTCGACAACGTATTATTTCATCGAAAGCAGGCAGTCACCACTTTCCAGAGGAATCACTGCTGCTCAAAGTGAAAACCTATGGACTCTGTCACATGACATTGGGAATGAAGCTGCCATACGCGCTGCAGGCTGCCTCATACCAAGTCAGACACCACCCATTAATGGAGCCTAGCACTTTGCCTACTCCAACAGGAGAAGCCCTTCGAAGTCTCAGGCAGCCAGTCTTTCCCATTAACTTCTGCATGTCAAGCATATCCCTCTCCAAAAGGGAGACAGGGCTCCCTGACTGGAGACAGGGCTGCATACACTGTGCACATATGGGCAAGCACAGAAAGATTTCCTGCCTGGAGGTAATCCTGACTCACCACAGGCAACGAGGCAAGTGGCTATTTTCAAGCCTGAGCTAAGGCTAGCTCACCTGGTGTCACAGCTACATGCTTCACTCCCTTCTAATATACAACCTTCTTTCTTTTCTAATAAGTAACCCTGTTGTTACAGAAAAGAAAAAGAGGGGTAAAAGAGGGAGGTGATCAGCAAAAGGAGGCCTTGGGTTTGAATCTGTTCTTCACTGAAACATCTTTTTTTGCATTATTGTATTTATCGAGTAAAGATGCAAGTTGCATCACCAGCAAGTTCCAAGATCTAAGTCAGGAAACTGGCAAGTAACCTTGCAGAAACCGCAAGCAGACAGAGGTGTAGTTATGAAGCACTTAGGCAACCCTTTTTTGTACTTTACGTCACAGGGTGTAAAGGTGCTGTGGCTGGTTGTTAACATTCAGATCTGCTGTCTTTTTTATTACCTGG